AATCTGACATCTTTACAGCTCTTTTAAAAACAGTATATATCTGCAGAAATTGGCTCCTGATATATCCGTCACGTGCAACTTTTTGTATTTTGAAAGTTGCTTGCCCCAGATTTACTCGGTTAAAAAATCTCTAGAGCTGTTTTCATGCCTGGGAACCAGCTACCAGCGGTTACAAAGTTCATTTGAAGACAAAATGGCTACTTAAAGAGGGAGAAAGTTTCTCTGAGTGAAGCCTTCCTCGCCGTATATCGGCCTGATGTCACGCTTAAGGAGTTATGTAGCTGTGAAAATTTAAGCGAAAGTAAGTTGCAAAACCGTTGCGCGTTTCGTCGAGGTCTGTGCCATTTTTGTCTCTCCTGTAGGGCTGGAACATACTCCTTCAACCATCGTCTCCAAAAATGGTCAGCCAATATCTGCGTCTGTCTCCATTTCTTTCTAAACAGCATATCTTCTTTCACAAAGGTTCCGGGCGGCAAGGCGCTTACTGTTCTCTGCAACAACAGGTGGTTTGGTGTTAATGGTTGAAGGTCGTTAGGGTCGTCTGAAACGGCAAAAAGAGGTCTGGAATTAGGGGTTGCCTCTACTTCTGTCAGGACAGTCGCCAGTACATCTTCTTCCCCTAGACTTTCTCCAAGCATAGCTTTCAGGGCGGTTCGAGTGCTACGTATCAGCCTTTCCCATACCCCACTGGCATGAGAAGCCTTAGGTGGCTGAAACACCCACTGGCACCCTCTCTGCAGGAGTTCATCTCTGATTTGGCATTGGTTCCAATTTTCAATTGCTTGTCTGATCTCCCGCTCGGCACCCACAAAATTGGTCCCATTGTCAGAGTACATAAACTTGGGTAGCCCTCTTCTGTTTACAAATCTTCTGAAGACGTTAATAAAACAGTCAGCCTCGAGGGAAGTGGCCAGCTCCAAATGTATTGTTCTAGAATTCATGCACGTGATCATTGCTCCCCATCTCTTAACAACTGATCTTCCCTTCTTAACATTCAGGGGCCCAAAGTAGTCCACTCCTGTATAGGTGAAGCACGGCTCATACGCTGTGGTGCGAAATGCTGGTAAGGCGGACATCATCTGTTCCATGGTTGCCGCTCTCTGTTTCTTGCATGTCATGCACGATCTCACAACCTTACGTACGGCAGACCTCTCAATAGGTATCCAAAACTTCTCCCTCAAGTGCTCAAGGATGTGATTTTGTCCAGCATGTAATAATTTCTGATGAAAGCTTGCAATAAGTAGCTGGGCCACATGGTGCTTTGGTGGAACAATCATAGGAAATTTGGCATCAAACGCAATAGGGGCATCTGCAATGCGACCTCCAACTCTCATGACGCAGTCATCCAATATGGGTCGGAGCTTTACAATCTTGCTCGAACGTTTGACATGGCCTCTCGTCTCCAAATCCTGTATTTCTTCTGCATATACTTCTCCTTGTACTAGTTTACCTATAGTCAATGTTGCTTTCTCCAGATCTGTCGTAGTCAGGTGCTTCTCAATAACTGCTTTCTTGTCTTTACCATACTGAAGGTGCCCCTTGAATTTCAGCAGCCAGGCTACCTTTCGTTGGAGCCCTGTCCAAGAGAAATACTTCAAAAGCAACTCATGCAATTTCTCCGGTAGAGTCAGAGTGAATATAGCTCTTCCGCCCTTAAGTTTTTGGTCGTCTTCGGGAAGAGCCTCAATTTCAAAACATGGCCAGTCTTCTTCCTGGTTCATCAGAAAGATAGGACCCTTGAACCATCTTTCGCCCGTTAGGAATTGTTGTGCCGAAATGCCACGGGACGCTTCGTAAGCTGGGTTGAGGCTCCCTGGGCAATGTCTCCACTGACAGGGCTGAGAAGCATCTCTAATTTCTGCTACTCTGTTATTAACATACGTCTTAAATCTGCGCGTCTCATTGTTGATGTACTGCAGCGTTATCTTTGAATCGGTCCAAAAGAACGTAGCAGAGATCACCAGGTCAATCTCCTTTAGGATCAGACGATGCATTCTTACGGCAATTGTGGCAGCTTGTAATTCAAGTCTTGGCACAGACACGAACTGTAGAGGGGCGGTACCACTCTTGGCCACAATAAAGGAGCAATCAACTCTTCCGTCTACAGTTTCTCTTCTCAAGTACGAGACAGTTCCATATCCAACCTCTGACGCATCACTGAAGTGATGCAGTTGGAACGTAGCATCGAGCGAACAGCCACCAGGAAAATAGCAACGCGGAATAGTCACATGATTGAGCACTGTCAAGTTCTTCTTCCACTTATTTCAGTCCTTCAACAAGTCTTCAGGCAACGTCTCATCCCAAAGGAGCTTTAGCTGCCAAGTCTTCTGTAAGACTCTTTTTGCTGGCAACAGGACTGGTCCAATCATACCAAGAGGATCAAAGATCGAGCCCAATGTAGACAAACACCCTCACCGTGCGTCATTCCCGTGTCCAGCTGTTGGAGGCGATGTCTTGACACCAAACGTATCAGTATCAATGTTCCATTGTTGTCCGAGGGCTCTCTCTATAGGAAGTCTGTCGAGGTCAAGATTCTTGATTGTTCTTTCTTTGGCTGGGATAGCAGTCAATACATCTTTATCATTTGAAATGAATTTAGTCAGGCGAAAATTCCCTTTGCGTAACATTCTCATCAGTTCCAATGATGAATGCTCTGCCTGTTCTGTCGACTGCTTCGAGAACAAACCATCGTCTACATAGAAATTTTTCTTGACAATTTCACGAATTTCTTCTCCAAAGGCAGCCTCGTTGTCTGCAGCAGTCTGCTGTAATGCCCAAGCAGCAATGCATGGCGAATCGGCCTTCCCGAACAAATGTACTGTCATCTTATAGTCACTAGGTGGTTCGTCTGAACTACCATCCCACCACAAGAATCGGAGTGCGTCCGTGTCGTCGTCTCTGTAAGCCACTCTATGAAACATACTTTCTATATCAGAAGCTACTGCTACTTCATCCTTTCTAAACCGCATCAATACTCCTTCCAATGAGTTGTTAAGCAGCGGGCCTTGTAGCAGTTCCTTATTTAGTGCGGTCCCTTCAAATCTCGCAACTGCATCATACACCACCCTTACTATAGACTTGTTTGGGTTGATCACTCCATGGTGGGGAAGGTACCATGTCTGGCTGCTGGTACCAGCCGCTTCTTTTTCCGACGATTTCACTGCATAACCCTTCTCTATGTAGTCATTCATGACTGTCTTGTGCTGGGCGGTAAACTCAGGACTACGTTGGAAGCTCCGCTTAAGTTGCTGCAGCCGCTTCTCAGCTTGCACGCGGTTGTTAGGCAGTTCAGGGTTATCGTTTCTCCACAAAAGACCAACTTCATACCTTCCATCCTTCAGCTTAGTTGTTCTCTTTAGGATTTCAAGGGCTCTTTCGTCCTCAAGACTGTTCGAAGTGCCATCACTCCTGAATGCATGTGATTCTAAAGCCCAGAGCCTTTAAAATTGTTTGTGCAGTTTCATGTCTCGCTTGTCTTCAGCCCAATCAAATTCGAAGACTGATAACGCAGCAGGCTTGTTTTCATCCTCCTTCCTGTTGGTTGGCCCGGCAACGCACCATCCAAAGGGGGTCTTCATTCCGTATGGCTGACTCTGTGGACTGTCTCCCCAGCAATAGTCAAGAACCATATGAACTAGAGGTTCGTCTTGGCCAACTAACACAGAGGCTTCATTCATATCGACAGCAGTATTTGGCAATTGAAGACCACTGAGGTGTGGCCAAGGAGACAAATCCAGTTGACTTGGGCAGTAGCGGTCCGACACATTCAAACTTTTCACTGTCAAGGCGTGATACACTGGGAAGGACGGAATTCCTCGGCTCGCTGAGCTGATCTGGAATTTCAAGATTCAAGATTTCAAGATTTGGTCTCTTTGAGTGACAGTGTTCATGCTAACTTTCTCTGGGACTCCTTGAAGTTGCAGTTTGTCTGTAATGTTAGAAGTGATCATTGAGCTAACAGCAGCTGAGTCTAACATACCATACGTAGTAAGTGTTCTCCCATTTTCAGCAGTCACTCTAAGTGGAACAACTTTGAGCAATACAAAGGTCCCCCTGTTACTCTCTGTCGTTGCCTTATGTTCACTGACAAATTGGACGCTATCGGGGAACTCTTCTCAGGATTGCCTTTAACATCCTCAATCTCGTTTTTTGTTGAAATATACAACAGCGTGTGGTGATCTTGTGGACGAGCACAGTCTTTCTCACTACAAGTGGTCTTTTCTGGGCAGCTCCTTTGCAAATGAGTGTAAGACAGACATCGGTAGCAGAGAGCCTTAAACCTTGAAAATCGTCTCCGCCAACCTACGCCCTTAGACAGGAACACCGAACACTTTGAGATAGCATGGGCTCCCTTGCAGACCTTACAGTGTTCACCTTGACCGCGGTTGCCCCCATTACTTCCTTGCTGACTGGCAGTTACCGGTTCTTTGTTCCCTGATTACCTCCGTTTTCTCGTGTCCGGACCTCTGTTGCTAGAGTGGGGATCGTCGGACCAGCCCTTTCTTCAGGTGCTTTTTTATTGGGGTTCCTGCCAACACTGAACTTTGTTTGTGATTCACTCTTTCTGCCATACACCGGGTCGTTCTCAATTTGCGACTGTGCAGTAATAAACTTGGATAGCTCCTTTAAGTCCGGTTCTCTTCCACCCGACCTCTCGCGATACAACATCGAAGTCTTTCTCCACTTTCCTTGAAGGTGACCTGGCAAACGATCATAGATGTGTCTCAAGTTAGTGGTACAATCAAGTTCACATGACCGCAACTCAGACATTGCCCAGCAACAGTTCTCAATCTTGTCAGACGAGGCTAGCAGTGCAGCGTTATCTCCAGGTCTTATCTTTGGCCCATCGGTAACAGACGATTTCAAGGCTTGGACTATCATGGCGCTTTGTCCAAATCTGTGTTCTAACACCTTGAGGGCCAACTGACATCCATTTGGTAACCCATTGTAGTTCTCAATTACTGCCTTCGCTCTACCTGTAGTGTAGGACATCAAATAGTTCAATCTCTCGCTGTCAGACAGTGATTTTTTACATTCAACTTGGTCCCGGAAATTTGCTCTAAACCGTAGGCACTTAGCTGGGTCGCCATCAAAAGGGGAGCCTCAGGTGGCAGCTGTGACAGTCTTAGTTCCATCCTTTCCCAGAAGGTTGCTTTGGGTTCACATCCAGTCTCTTTATTAGAAGAGGTATATTCAACTGGTGATGATTCTCGACACGTCTGCAGATTTCGCAAAGTATTTTTTACAGCAGTACAATCTTTATGTTCGTCTGCGAGTCGGGTAGCTGAGCTCAAACCAGTATTAGCCTGTGATTTTAAAGGTTATGGGGAAGAATGGACAAACTCTGGTGCATGAGGATTCAAGGTACCAACTGCCTCTCCTGTCGCCGAGTTAAATGATGGTTGTAATTGTCTTTTTTTAGTCGACCTCGGGCTCATGACAGCATCATCCTTGTCTGCGTCATACGATCCTAGGTATTGTTCTGCATCCTCCTTTATTGCGTCGTCGTAGACTTTGCTAACAGCACCAGCAATTGCACACTAAGCTATCAACCTTGTTCTTTCTGTTTCTCTTTTTGCAGTTTCCACTTGATCGAGTTGTGCAGTCCTTGCATGTCCTTAATTCAACTTCTTTGGCTTTGGCTTCCAAGGCTCTTGTTCTAGAGGAGGTGGTGGATGCACGCGAGGCTTTACTATTTTTGGACTTCAGACTTGACTTGGTTGAATTCTTTTCCCTTTCTTCACCTCTGAGTTGCTGTTCAGCATTAGTCATCCATTTCTGAACCACTTCACGAAAGGGAACTATCTCTTCATGCAAATTAATGTAGACCTGGTGGTCCTGTGCTTGCTCTTCTCCACTCAGCAAGTCCTGGATCTCTTCATGAAGATCCCCAAACTACTTGAATCGTTCATTTAATTTAATGCATTCCTGACTGACTTTTTTCAGCTTTCTATTCAGTTCCATGAGTGTCTGAATATTAGCAATTTGTTCCTGTGTTTCTCTCTTGAGTCTCTTTCGCTCACGGACATCTCGAGCAAGTTTATATGATTTACCTCTCTCCGTTAACTTGTGTTCTCTTTTTCCGCCGATGCTCGCGGTGCCAGCAGAAGCGCTTTCTAAGTTTGGATTCTCGATCACGGTCTCTTCCGTACTTCCGAGTCCTTGTCCGTTCCACAATTCGCCAAGAAAGTCAACTTCATCGTTCAAAGGTAAATTCGTCGCTTCGCTCCCCTTTGTCACGTAGCCCGACTCTATTGGAAAGGCATCTAGGACTGTAGAATTTGCTTGTGGATTACAGGCGAGAAATCAGGCCCCGAAATAGTCGCCGTTTCGCCTGCAGCAATCGTTCCATCGCTTTCGATATCAACACTCCCCGAACCGCACACAGCCATGACAAACTTGATTCAACAACATGCACGGTTTCACACAACAAAATTCTTCATAGACGGAAAATATCTCGGACAATTTGCTCACCATGAGATGCTCACTTCGTTGGCAAACTCCGCAAATCGAAGACAACAATAAGACTGACAAGACTCGATTCAACCAACAGTCAAACAGCAAAACGAAGTAGCTGTAAGGTGCAAATCCACTTGTAAACAGGCGCTAACACTTTATTTGGACGAAACAAACCGATCCATACAACCAAGGATATATATACTTCGGACAAGACCAAGCAATCCGTACAAACAAGGGTATATATACGTTGTCAAGCGTTAAAACGTTGTTACTTCGTGTGAATCGCTCCAACTGATATATCGAGTAACTCCGTACAACAACAAAAAGCTCATCTCGTGATCCGAAGGGCGGGAAACAAGAAAACAGGGAACCCAGCCGCAACAGCAACATTTTGGATACGTCGTCTATTTTTTCTGGAAATCGCGTGGCAATGAACCTCCTCTGCGGGAAATTAGAGACAACATGGGGGCCATTCGTATTCTGTCTGGGCCAAAACCGTGACTATTATAACTTACAATGTCTAAATGTTTATGGCATGTTTAAGTTAAGTGAATATTGGACACGGGCGAGATGCAACATCGTGCATCTATTGTAAGGGAAAGAGGTAAGATCAGTCTATTTCGTTTTCGTCCAAACAAAGTCTCTTCTTAAATACGGCCATTCGGCGGGATTACGCAGTCTTAATCCTCTATATACTGCGCGTGACTGTCCATTATTTCTCCACATTAATCCGAAAATTCCATGCTATTTGAGTGAATATGTCTCGACGCCTCTAGCTGACAGCAGAGCTTTTTTTTCGATTTCTGGATTTTGGCGTACTCGAGAAAGACTCTGCGTGAATCGAGTAAGATCTCTGTTGAACATGCGCGGCAGGTTGCTACAATAGGAAATAGTTTCGAACCCAGGCTTAATAGCCCGTGTGCTTGCAAGAGCGGGCTCAGTTATGTCCATTAGTTTGTCAATAAATGGATGCTCGCACTCGAAAAAAAACTAGTGTGACGAGAGAGAACAAGATTGACTAGGCCAGAAGTTTGGGCTGCGGTGACCTAACTAAACGGTTTGACGTGACTCAGACAGAGCCATCGCCATCTTGCATTTTACCAAGAATTAGAAAGCAGGTTAAGTAAAATCGCGATAAATGGTCATTTTTTGTGCTTCACATGTAAAATAACACATAAATACGCACTTTCTATCATTTCATCCACAAGTTATTTTTATTGTTGAAAAAAGTTGAAAAAAAACATGTATTTTTACTCAAAAATTGCTTGACCACCTGCTACTTATGACGTCATATATCGTAACCATAGTAACTGACCATCTCTAAATTTGTCTGAAAATGCGTGCGAGGGATAAACGAACAGCTACTGAAAACGTTAAGCCCCGGTTGTTCAAAAGGTGGATAGCACTATCCATCGGATAAATCTCTCACTGGATAGAGCAATTGGTTTTTCCTAATACATATATACTGGATAGTGATTTATCCAGTAGATAGTGCTATCCATCTTTTGAACAACCGGGGCTAAGTGCTGATGTTTTATCGTCTAGGAAAAATATCAAAAACCTCAGGGGGGTGACTGAGACGCAAATTTTTGAACCATTTTTATTCAGCAATCTGACACCTTGAAGTTTCAAACCGGTGTCATTTCAGTTTCTAAATTTTTAAGTTGAGTGAAACGTAGCCAAAAAGTGCCTTGTTACCGCTTACATAACAACTTAAATAGTCAGCAAAACACTACTTTTTTCGCGGTCCAATAAATGACAGGATCTCGCATGGAATAGGCAACAAACTGATTAAAACATAGCACACAAATTATCACCTTCTTATCGGCTAAAACCGGTCTTTGGTTAAAAGCCAAGAGCCCGCTGAGGCTAGACCTAGATCCAATGCGAGTCGAGAATTGGTTTTCCAAGGCACAATCTGCTAAACTAAACACCGACAAACCGTTTTTAAGGCCAGCACAGAATATGACTGTTCCTGGTTTATGAAGACTCTATTCTGGATGACTATCCAGGCAGATAAGATTTTCAACATTTTTAGAACTTTATGTAACCACATTGGCTTGTAAACTTTATTCCAGTTGTCCATGTTGTGTTATCATTAAACTTAGAGTTCCTGTTTACAGTGTGCGTGTAGGAATATCGCTGGATTCTCTTGTTAAACTTGCTGTTTGTTGCTTCATTTCTTACGCCTATAAGCCCGGTGGATTCTCTTGGGCTTCCTCGCCATGAGGGTTTAAACACTACACATAATATAAACCACCTGGCTGATTAAAGAGCTTCGCCAAGAAAAATAAAACACCAGAAACAGGTATTTTTGCCGTTTTTTCAGCCTTTCATATGGTCAAGATTTACGTTTTTTTTTCTCATTCTTTTAATGGCTATCACAGTTTATTCAACTTCGATCTTACTTATTCTGCAAAGAAGAAAATTTTTAATCAAAAGTTAACGCATTTGCTCTGAAAATGCATTTGTATGTTTATGTACAGTCTTTTGGAGGGGGGTCAGAGTGTTTCTCATACTAGGCTTTCTGAAGTCATGCGACTCCGAGTAGACTCTTCTCCGGCAGTTTTTTTTCTTTCCTTCTGATGTTTCAGTTCAATCGTTAAAAACTGACCTTGACTAAAACCAAAAACGGTTACGTCAAGACTCAAATTCATACTCATACTCTGTATTTATACGCGAAAACCTGGAGCTCGCTAGTCCCCTTGCTTAAGAAGCTATTAAATGTATCTACTTTTAAGGAACAATACAAACAGATACGTTAAATTACAAAATACCTGAAAAACGGCTTTTTGAGTTATGATCCTTATTATACTTCTTTCCGTTGGCTATTGAATCTGGAAGAAAAAGTAAATTTGTTTATAAACAACAAACCGGAGGTGAAAAGTCCTGCAGCTGCTGTTCATAAATGCAGTAAGTAATATGTGGAAAAAACGTGCCAAACATTACAGCGTAATTTTAGTCAGACAGACAACTGATATGCTTTGTACACACTTCTTGTTTTATCAATTGTTTTCCCATCATATGAAAACTACCTTCCATTTTCTTGACAGTTTTGACTTGACATGAGTTTTATGTAATAATAGAGAGGATAAGCATCACGTTTACGTCAAACGGCAAACGCGAATTTGTACCACGTGACCAAGTTTCCCCATAACTTGTCGTTTACTGTTCATTATTTCTACGGATAAATTAGTAGTTTCACGCAATTTTTTATCCATAAGAATTGTTTTGAGCTGTTTTTATCTCCTCATTTTCTATTTTTAGAAATTCTTAACTTGAATCTAACGTTTGCCGTTTGCCGTATACGTGAAGTTTGAACTCTCTATTTTGTTCACAAATGTTTCATCAAATTGGAGAAAGTCCTCATTAAATAAGTGTTCGTAACGGATTAACTTAGTAGGCATTAAAGTGGTTACGCCAGACAGATACGTTAAATTAGAAAAAAAAAAAGAAAAACAGTTGGCTATCGAATTTGGAAGAAAAAGAAAATTTGTCCACAAAGCGGAGGTTAAACGTCTTGCAGCTGCTTCTTGTAAAGACAATAATTCATTGCCAAAAAAAAAGACAACAATTAAAGCAATTAAGTCAGGCAAATTTCGTCCATGTGTTTTGTACGCACATTTCGTTGCAACAACTATTTTCTCATCCTGTGAAAGCTCCCTTCCATTTCATTACTCTATATTAATTTAATCTACATAATATAAAGGGGTAAACACAGACGAGGTTTTATGCACTAATTTGTCGAAAAATGCCTCCTCGAACTGAAGAAAGCTTACATTTAAGAGTTCGTAATTAGCTTGCTTGCCATTAACCGTTCTAACAATAAAACTTCCCGTAGTAATTTTTTGTCATTTTAAGTCTTCTTTGTGTTTGTTACGAAACCAAATAGCGAACGCTATCATATCAAAGTGATTAAAGAGGGTTTGTCCCGAGAGGATATGTTGCTGTTTTAGGTCAATTCTGTGCTGACGTCATTACTTAGACCCTTTGCCCATACACAAAGTACTCCTGTAGAGTTATGAAGAAGACAAAACAAAAATCACCAGGGAGCATTTCAACCGTTACTTCTATAATTTTTTGGTGAATTTTGGGGAGAACTCTCGATTGATGTAGGTGGGCGGCGATGATGATTTCTAATGTTATCCCTTAAATCTAAGTAAAAATAGGCGTTCGAAAATAACAATGCTTCCTTCAAATTCAGCAGACAATCCTAGCTACACGCTATGCTGAAAACTATAAAAACAGGTTACACTATCAAAAATTATGATCATCTACCGCTGTCAAACAACACAACCTTCACCAACGGATAGGGCTAGTTGATGATTTTCCTGGTCCTAAAAGATATGTACCTGAATTCTTATTCAAGGGTTCTTGTTTTCAAGGAATTTTGGCCCTTTCAGAGAGGTGAGGACAATTTCTATCTTAAATGGGTTGAAAATATTGTGATTCAATTTTACCAATTGAAACAAGCTGAGGATTCCAGATTCCACGCACCGGATTCCGGTTCTTTGTCACTTGTATATTCTAATCGTTAGCGGAATTCCACAGTTGTTGTTTATTATAGCTTTAACAGTGGAAGGTCTATCAAACTCTGAACGAGAATGACAGGTAGATTTTATCTGTTGGCATAATCGACGACCTACACAAAATACTTTCTAAGAGATCTGAATTCACGCTGTAAAGGTTCCCTCCTTCTAAAAAGTTCCACCCCAGAATTTCTGTTCAATTGAAAATATATACGTACTCTCATGAATAACCGTCGCTCATCTCTTCTGTTCTGTTTCCCCAAAACGTCGAGATTTGCAGATGGAAAAAACTATCCGTTGTGTGTAACGTTTGGCAGAGCATAAATACGAAACTGAGTACGACACTTTTTGGTGTAAAAACTAAACAAACAGGCAAAAAATATGCATATCATATGATGTTTTTGCGCGCAAATACTGTTATCATTATTTTAAATCCGGCCCATTTGGTCGGGCTTTTCGGAAAATTATCGTGACCCCTTTGATTAAAGC